TTATTATTATTATTATTATTATTATTATTATTATTATTATTATTATTATTATTATTATTATTATTATTATTATTATTAATTCATTTTATTTTCCTGTCTGAGTCTATGACTATGTAGGACATGTAGGTCCTCTCTGCCTACAGGCCAAGGATACATATACCAGTAGTATATCCCCTCCTATGCCTCCCATACAGCTCCCCTCAAACAGTTCCACCCCTCAGAAGTCCTCATTCGATCATACACTAAGAGGAGCCCTTAGCCCTTCATTATCTCCCCTCTCCAGCCAACGAAACGATGGCCTTTTGCGGGTGTATGGCAGCCGGGAAAAATCGCAAAAACCACTGGGTGCGGAGCTCTCCTAATACCGACATTAGGACTAAATCCGAAGACATATTGCCCCTTCTGAAGCGATCGAAGAGGCCGGCCAGCTAGGCGCTGCAGACTTGTGGGTACCTCGGGAAATTCGCCCTCTGCCTTTCTAGCCTCCTTCCCGAAGGTCGTGCTAAAACATCAAAAAAGTCTTGACAGTGCGTGATTGCTGTACGGTAGCTTAGCCCAACTTCTTTTGTGCCGTCCAGGGCGCTGGGGAGTGCCGTTGACTCATCGACAATAGAAGCCCTCCTGGCTAGTTAGCCGAAATCTTGGTCTTGGCGCCCACAAAAAATTCAAAGTTGAAAACTTCTCGAAAATATCGGTCTCAGCATGGTCTTCAGAGACCTGTTCCCCCTCTCGTTCCACATCTCAGCCGCCTGTCCTTCCTCGAGATGTACAACCCCATTAGAGCATCAGTCCCCCATAAACCAAGACCCTAACTTTGTATATTATGACTTAATTTCCTCCTTGCGGGTATACGTAGCGTCGTAAATTTGTAGTGAGTGATGGCCGGTAATAAATGAGGCAAGCTCCTGTTTGCAATTGGGGTAACGCCTTTATCGGTCGTCGAGGCGAGATGATATGTGGTTAGAAAGATGTTGGGGACTCAGAAGATTATGATGAGTGCTGCATGATCGAGAAGTCGTCAAATGGAGATATGCATGTGTTTGCTTTCGACTTCGATTTAGATGCGATTCTTCTTGGCTATCCTAGATGTGCAGGGCATACTGAGCGATTGCACCGACACCACTGGAAGGTGAAGAATTCGTCTTTGCCGGCACATTTCCACTTCTGGAGCAGTTTTACGACTGTGATCCGCGAGACTCTTTTCGAAAACCTCTAGTGCTATTCTCCTCTGGAAAATATGCGCCTAGGCTCTTCCGTGATCACTGAGCGGATTTACGGCCTCGTTAACATCCTCAATTGTGGGTGTGTCCTTACCCATTTGAATCATCGCGATTAGCCTAAGCTCTTTCAATATTATCCCCAAAATTTCAAGGTTCTTATCCTTTGGAGCTGTCAGCGATCCGCTGCCGTTGTTTGTGGTGGCCATTGTGGCTTTTTGCGACGCGTCGAAACCGCAGGATTTACCCACACCAGCATCCATATTCGCCATGTTGCAGTACGGAAAGCGAAAAAAATAAGGGAACGTAAAGAAGATATGAAAATGGTGTTCACAATGTCGAATTGATGATAAGGGCAGCTTGTAACGCTACGCAGCTTTCTGGCAAAATCGATGTTTTTCCCAAAAAACAATCTGTTTTCAGCAATCATTTAATACTTTAGTACGAAAATTTTCGTACTAATCGTCGGACTCTTCTTTATAGTATACTGTTACTAAAATAATACTCCAAGATCATCATGGACATAGGACCAGTTCGCGCCAGCCCACCTCATTCCAACAGCGTTTATCGCCAACAAAGATAGCCGCAGATTCAGGCAGAAAACCAATTCAGCTCCGAAAATCAACGAACTTACATGGTGACATTAATAGGGTGTTCATACCCAAAGAATTATGGTCTGAAACCATGGCTCCCGCATTCTAGCTATCAAAGACCTCCTGGAGTGGAGGCAAACTCCAGACAAGCTTGCGAAGCATATTTAATGCAATGCAGAATGTAGAAGATGGAAGAAGAGAAGCTCTCTACCTCGCCCAATTAGCTATAGAAATTATCGACATGTGGGCCAAGAGCAAGGCGAAATTAAACGTGACAACAATTCTGGCTCCAGTAAGGTATATATTATGCTCATCGTGGCCCAATTTCCTATGAATTCAATTGGGACTCATTAGATCACCAGTGAGGTCCCGATATCCTTTCCGAACACTTCAAAACCTGCATCTTGTTAGTAGGGCAAATACCATACAACTGTACGCGGTGTCCTCTACGAACCCTGGAGTGAAATATTCTCCTAGAGCCAAGTTCAGTCAAATTTCGCAATATAAAAGAAGTTGGCCCACGAGGCAATGATTCAAACTCTCCACCAAATCATCTTCTCTCACCCAACGAGATCGATCTCCTCCAAGACCTCATCAAGTTTACAGGTACGACTTAGTTAATCCTCATTTCAATGACCACACCTCTCTTCGACTTTCTCTAGTCTCAGCTGAACACTGAATATATGCCTACGCCAATTTGTGTGTGATTTTATTGTGTTACTTGTGTCTTAGGCTATCGAGGACATTGGGCTCCTCTCTGGCCCAGGCCACACCTTGTACAGTGCTCTTTGCCTCTCATGTTTTTTGAAAGATCATTGATATAATACCCTTGACGAATAGCCATTCAGCTCAGTAGTTACCCGTGGAATTCAGCCACCTTTTCCACTGAACCTTCTACCCAGAATAACATAAATGGTAGCTATGGAAACTGCGTACGCGCGAATAGGTTTCAAAAAACCATCCAGTCCCTGCTACACGAGGTGCACATATTCATCTGTATCTCCCTTCTTTGTTACAGTTGAGGCCGACTTGATCCAATCCACCATCTCCGTATCGAGTGCTAGGTACACTCCGGAAACTCATCGGATGGCCTTTCCTCCATGAACAAGGGTTGGTGATGAGTAGGGCTCCGACCCTACCATCTGAACTGATCGTGGTTAGCTTCGTAGTAATGGTGATAGTGGAAAGTATTGAGAGATGAAGACGACACAGACGGCGAAAGCGGATGGGAATTCTTATCGAAGTGAGGACTTTGTTACCCAATCTCGGCTCTGTAGACTCTACAGTGAGAGCTGGAGGTTCGTAGGGGACACCACTGACAGGTGTTAAGAATAGCCCCCCCTCCGTTTTGAAGCATTTTTACATTTAAGTGAAACCTAACAACACGTGGCTGGGTAGCAAATATTGTGGCCTAGGATAATTCATCAGTCTGTAGACTCACGAAGAGTATTATTTCTTGCAAAAACCAGTAGTAGTAGCTAGGGTTCTGTTTTCTTCTCATATTTTAATAATTCGACTTATTTATCATCAACTCAGTTTCCGTCAAACTTTCTGCTTGAACAAGTGTTGAGCCCCGTGAGCTCACTTCGAATTGGTATTGGTATTGACAAACTACTTTGGGTCCTTCTCAGGTTTCGATGTAAAAGAAGTATAGATTTTTATAGACTTAGTTTTTGTCGTCCAGATTTTCTACTTTGGTTACAATTGGCCGCTCTCCAGGGATCCATTTATATACTTTATTAGTTCACAACCATGTAGAAAAATATAGTAAGGAAGACTCACCCTTAAACCTATTGACTGGTTTAGGTATTATAACTATTTTTGACAGGAAAATAAATGTATTCTAGAACTTTGATTTGATTTCATTTAGACCGTTCAGGTACCCTATGGGCCTATGCAGGAACATCTAGCTATAATATTTACAAAGGAGGAAGCCAATTCGATAAAGACCCCCAAAACTGTCTATCTCTTGCCTATTGGTTTCTCTTGGGTTTAGTGTAGGAAATACGTTTATACTGTTCATAGCGTGTGAATTCCATCCTGTCCTTGTCCACACCATATCATCTTTTCGTCAAATGCAATTTCTACTTCTCCTACGAGCCAGAACTATTCAAACCAGTCTTTTGCCAGGATTCGCTTTTTTATTCTCTCCATATCATCTGAGCTATTCAGCATTGAGGCAAAGGACATATCTTTTGCCTTTCGAAGTATCTCTCCTCTTCCCATTGCCCACTAATGACACGCCAAGACCATATGATTGACATTTTGAGACGGAGGTCCATACTGGCATTTTGAATGAAACAATCCGAAAAATTTTCCTGCATACAGATAAGAATTGAGGTTGATGTGTTCACTTCTCATCTAAACTGCAATACTGCTTTGGGCCCTTCTAAGGTTCCAGTGGATTTTTGAGGGTGTGTTACTTTAGGTAATCCTGTTTCTGCCTGTTATCTTGTTCGTGACGATGTATTCTAGAACTTTTGATGTTGTTTCGTTACTTTCAACACAAAAGAGAATGCTTCGATTTATACAGAAAGCTTGTCTATCTACTTATTGATTGAATATTCTTTCAAATGACAAGAGATATTTCGTAGTCTCCTCTATTATTTTACAGAAGCATATCTGTCAAAACATTATGCCAAACGTATCTGTTATAGGCCTATGTCACCCACAGCAGGTTATGAGATTGTCAAATTTGATTATGACAGTGAGCTTGAATCAATCGTCAAGTTTTCTTTATTGCTTGCATTATCACAACAGCAGATTTAACCTCTAGTGCTAACAAAATCCGAATTACTTATTTGCGCAAATCATTCATATTAGTTCCATTTTTCTCACACTTATCGCCACTGTACTAGCAAACCCTCTTTTTTTGTCGTAATATTATCCTTGTGTTCTGATGAGCTCGTGAGTGCTTCTTGAACTATTTGGAAAAATCTGGGTTCTAACCGTTCCCCTGTGTTGTGAAGTATTCTTCTGGTCATTTTCAGTCTGACAAGTATTTGGAAATAGGTAATAGTTGGGGGCTCAGGTCATAGTTGTTAGGAAGCAAGGTTAGAGAGCTGCTAGATATTGAATTAGATGGGCTTATTGAGTCTTAAATTGAAGCATTTCTTTTGCAATATTTCCGAAGCTGGAGGGGTGGGAAGGTGGGTTGGTTTCTTATAGATATCCTAGGCAGTAGCTTTGATCACCCAACTGCTCTTCCGCCTAGTGTCAATTGGTTTATTCCAGCATGGATTCCTCGCTTTCTGCCAAGCCTGAACCCGTTTTGATCTACCACCAACACTTGGCCAATGCGGAAGCCTTGCCTATTAACTAAGATTGGCCCAATTTTGAATCCATAGCCATCCTGAAAAAAACTTTTCTTGGTGACCAATGGTCTTTGAGCGATATTTTTTTTTTCTAAGTGTAACGGAATGTCGTTTCTTTTGTTGAAAATGATCTTCATACCACGAGGCGCAAAGAATTTTTTATTCCACTCTGTAGCAAAATAGCTCAAGCTAGAGGTGATCTCCGAATGGTGGGAAGCCTGGTTAAGTGCCGCAATTAGAGCAGAGTCCGAGCCAATCCAAATACCTGATAGACCAGAATCTGATAGAGACAATCCATACATCTCCTTTACTACCCGTTCGGCTTTTAAGCATTGGCCAGAGTTGAGATTGGAACTAGGATTAGTTGTGTTGGCTGGACGGAGTTCCTGATTAAAGGTTAGAGAATCTCTGGGGTACACTAGGATGTAGAGAAGTATTTAGAAGCTGACATTTAGAAATGCTGTCCAGTCCTGCTCGGTAATGTCTCTCAATGAGAATTGCGGAAAATGTGGAAAGTCTTGTGGTCGTGATAATGGTGATCTTTGTAGTTGGTAGATTTGACATGGAGCAGCACCAGGATATAATGGTTCCTGCAACGAAAAACAGAGGTGAGTAGGTTCCAGTATCAGAAATGACCCTTCGAAACAAGGTTGATGGTCGATCAAGTCGATAGTGGATACGACAGGGGTTTGGAGTAAATACGGGGTATTAAAGTAACCTCGAGGAGCGACAATCTCAGAGCTCTTTGAACATGGCGATTTTCTTGGATTAAGGTCGGTTTGGCTGTATGGCGGAGGCGGTATATCGGCATCCATCCTCGAATTCGTATGCAGACCTGTACTTACCGATAACCGACAGGGCTGAATGGAGGTACGTGTTTGTGTTTGATGTACCACTTGGGTCTATGTCTACTTAGCCAACTACATGGATAGAGTTCTGTGAATATCTGCCTCAGGTACTAAAATTCAATGACGGAGATGTCCAATTTTCAGACGATGTTTAGCTGGATCCGTCATTTTTAAACTAATAGAAGACAATGATGGGTTACAATTGCTGGATTCGTCTATTAAATTGCTTGACGAAGAGCTAACTAGCCAAATTCTCTAGCTTTGTGAGGGAGACTATTCTCAACACCTGTCAGTGGTGTCCCCTACGAACCTCCAGCTCTCACTGTAGAGTCTACAGAGCCGAGATTGGGTAACAAAGTCCTCACTTCGATAAGAATTCCCATCCGCTTTCGCCGTCTGTGTCGTCTTCATCTCTCAATACTTTCCACTATCACCATTACTACGAAGCTAACCACGATCAGTTCAGATGGTAGGGTCGGAGCCCTACTCATCACCAACCCTTGTTCATGGAGGAAAGGCCATCCGATGAGTTTCCGGAGTGTACCTAGCACTCGATACGGAGATGGTGGATTGGATCAAGTCGGCCTCAACTGTAACAAAGAAGGGAGATACAGATGAATATGTGCACCTCGTGTAGCAGGGACTGGATGGTTTTTTGAAACCTATTCGCGCGTACGCAGTTTCCATAGCTACCATTTATGTTATTCTGGGTAGAAGGTTCAGTGGAAAAGGTGGCTGAATTCCACGGGTAACTACTGAGCTGAATGGCTATTCGTCAAGGGTATTATATCAATGATCTTTCAAGTAACAAAAGAGGATAGGAGCACTTTACAAGGTGTGACCTGGGCCAGAGAGCAGCCCAATGTCCTAGATAGCCTAAGACTCAAGTAGTATAATAAATACACCTCTCTCTCTAACTTTGTGGGATTATGTATCTCGAACAACCGCCACCTCGGTAGGGGCTAGGCAGCTGAATTTGCCTAGGTATGTTTATTTTCTGGCACTATTCCGTATTCAGTGATTTGGCTCTACCGATATGTCCAGAATGAGCAGGGAATAATTTGCACGGACAGCAGTCCACTATTAAGTATCCACTCCACATGCACCCCAACATTGCACTACATCATCTGTAGACAAATACAGAATATACAAAGGTTAGCTGAGCATCGTTTGTTCCGATAGCCTGAATGATACAATCGTCTTTGGAATCACCCTAGAATTCTACGGCACAGTTGAAAAGTGCAATATAAACAGATAGAGTGCTAGTTGGAAGCGATGATAGCGCGAATAAAATCATCACGGGACTTTCCACTGGCTTATATACATCATTGTTTACGCGTAGAGACGTTCCATAATTTCATACCCTAAACCTTCCTACCTATTGTCCCTTCTTACATATATGGGTCTATCACAGTCATCTCAGGTTCATCATTCCACTGTTACTAATTACCCAATACTCTAGACCTTCAGGATCAAAAAATCAACCATTGCTTAGACTACAGCCGCCGAGGCAAATAGATGAGTTGCGTCTATTCTACTGACATATTTTAATTTTGATGTACTGAACCAAGAATTGTAAGACAAGATCAACCTTCCACTTCTAGTCTTTATTGTCCTCGCTGCACTGCACATGCCATCCGATGACAATTCGAGTTTAGTTGTCAACTAAGCCACAAGAAACCAAACTTGCATCTCAGAAACAAAGTGACTGCCTTTCAGTTTTGAGCTACGTGTAAGAGATCTGAAGATAGGCCACAACTGGAATTATCAACACCTATTTCAAATTCACCAATATAACTGACTTTTCAATATCCTTGTCACCAATGACCATGGCGCCCAATGAAATGGATCCATACGCGGCTTCCCATATATATTACGGAAAGGATACTCACGATGCCAGTAAAATGTTCCGACCTCGCACATATTCTACGGTAAGTAGCCAGAAATTCAGGCTACATGATATCTCTAATATTCCCTGTAGAACCAGAGCACAAATACAGAAAAATCTGGACTAAGATTACTTGTGCGGAGAAGCAGTCATGGTAGGCTAAGTTGTTTTCCTCAAGAAAAAAATCCTTTTCCTCACTATTTTCAGATGAGCTTTCTTTATTTCCGAATCGCTTCCTTTTGAACGTGGCTCAGACAATTAAGAATCTCCGAGACCAAGAGGACACCGACTCTAATATGCAAATTACGATAGAAGATAATGGACCCAAGGCAAGGCATATCCTAACGCAAGGTAGAAATAAGCTGATATGATAAAAGACTATCAGCCTCGGTACACTAAATTCAGGCGGCTATAAAACTAAGCAAATTCGTGGCACATATATGCTATCAAATCTTTTACAAGAGTTATGTTTAGCGAGAGATCACGGAAAAACTCATATATTTCTTGATGAAGTTCGACTTAATGAAAATCCTGTGAACAGACTTACAAGGCTCATCAAAGAAGAATTCTGGCTAAATCTTACACGCGTAATAGATGGTTCCGCAATAGAAGTCGCTGGTAGAGACCCAAAAGATTGGACAGATGATCCTCGACCACGTATATATGTGCCAGCAGGAGCTCCAGAGCAGTACGAATATTACCTTAAGGTATCAAAAAATCGGCCAGAGATTCGACTCGACGTCTGCTTGCTCCCAACTAATATAACACCCGATTATGTTACTAGCTTGAATGACAAGCCGGGTCTCCTTGCCGTTGCAATGGAATCTATAGCTGACCCCCTGACTGGAAAGTTAGTTCTGAAAGGCGTTCCATTCGTTGTACCTGGTGGCCGTTTCAACGAGTTTTACGGGTGGGATTCCTACATGGAATCACTAGGCCTAATGGTATGCGAGCAAATTCATTTAGCTAAAGCAATGGTTAAAAATTTTGTTTTCTGCATCAAGCATTACGGTAAGATTTTGAATGCTACCCGCTCATACTATCTTAATCGATCACAACCACCTCTATTAACTGATATGGCTCTCCGGGTCTATGAAAAGACACGCCATGAGGATGATGCCCTTCACTGCCTCAGGCAAGCTATTTTAGCCGCCATCAAAGAATATTACACTGTCTGGACCGCAGAGCCAAGACTTGACAAAAAGACCGGTCTCTCAAGATACAGGCCCGAAGGATTTGGAGTCCCACCCGAGACAGAAGCTTCTCACTTCACACATATTTTAGAACCGTATGCCAAAAAAAATGGTATGTCCGTAAAAGACTTCGTTCGATCATACAATCAAAGGGAGTTAATTGAGCCAGAACTTGATGAATACTTTTTGCATGACCGTGCAGTCCGCGAGTCTGGACACGATACGTCGTATAGACTTGAGAAGGTTTGTGCAAATCTAGCCACAATTGATTTGAACTCACTTCTCTTCAAATATGAGAAAGATATTTCAGTTTGCATCCGAACTTACTTTGGCGATAAGTTGGAAGTTTTACCAGAGTTCCTCGCACCTGGTATGAAATCAGGTCATATAGAAACCTCCTCTAACTGGGAACGCCGAGCAAAGCTCCGGAAATTTTCAATGGATCGGTACTTATGGAATGAAGAAAAAGGGATGTTTTTTGATTATGACACAGTTAAGGAAGAACAGTCTAGCTATGAGACATGTACAACTTTCTGGTCTCTCTGGGCAGGTGCAGCATCTCCTCGACAAGCAGCAAAAATTGTCTCAACCGCTCTTCCGCTATTCGAAGCAGCAGGAGGCTTGGTTTCTGGAACAGAAAAATCCCGGGGTCCAATTAGTATTGATCGTCCTAACAGACAGTGGGACTATCCATATGGGTGGGCTCCACAGCAAATGTTAGCTTGGATTGGTCTGCAGCGTTATGGTTACACTGCTGAGGCTGAGCGACTCGCATACAAGTGGCTTTTTATGATGACCAAAGCATTTGTTGACTTTAATGGGGTGGTCGTAGAAAAATATGATGTGACACGTACCTTCGATCCGCATCGCGTGGATGCGGAATACGGTAATCAAGGATTAGATTTTGAGGGTGTCGCAAAAGAAGGGTAAGATTCACCCTTGTACCGAGCTGTAGGCTAACAACAGTAGCTTCGGTTGGGTCAACGCGTCTTTTGTCTATGGCCTTACAATCGTCAGCTCTCACATGCAGAGAGCTCTTGGCACACTTACTCCTTGGTCACAGTATGCTCGTGCCACAAACACGGTGTCTGAAAATTAAGCGGAACTCACTAATATAATCGCTTTGTCTGCACGTCACTGAAACCTACAGGATTTACGCAGATACAGGACAATTTTGTAAAATTTACCAAAATTGTTTATCAGTAATACAACAAAGAATGTTTTTGAGTCGTAGTACAAAGGTTTTCCGCTTTTAAAAGGCTGTCAAGGCATACTCGTGCCATGAAACACTTTTCAATTTTACATTAAGCAGACTGGGTAGAGAAAATTGATGGAATAGGTCCAGAGGATGGACAGTGCATGGAATTTAATTTTAATAACTTCTACTGTCGACTGGTTCGATGATAGTATCTGGCACAGTGAATGTAATTCATAATTATAGATTTTCACAGAGACCAAGTTACACGTGATATAAGCGTATAACTATATTTGGACTCTTGCAAGTTTTTGGTATCAGTGTCATATTTCTATACAGTGCTGAATATTTCAAAATATAGCTTGGTGTTAACGGATCGAAATTGAACTTCACATGCCATAAATAGATCCAAAAGGTAGTTTATTTGCTTGGGTGGTAACATCTTTTATCAGATGCCCGGAGACGTCGAACACAAAATCAATCGTTTTGTCAGCAATCCAAATAAGTGCCTAAAAACTTGGAGTGCCGCGATTCCCAATATTCACATGCTTACGCTCGGTATTCAAGTTGAGCTTGGCAGGGATATTGGAGGTCGAGAGATAAACAATTGTGATCAAAATACACTTATTAGCCTTCAGTTATCAGCGTCTGATTCGCTAGTTGAAAATTTTCGAGGGCTAGTGATGATTCATCTAAGAAATAGTGGTGATGGTAGTAGTTGTAACACTTTCATTGTTCGAAGTTTCCTAACAACTCGTCTACATGAGCCGGCATCATCGTTTTGGCAGGAAAACTAAATTTTCAAATTCCCACGTCGAAAATCTCCTATCTGTTTTGCTTGTGATTTCATACACTTCACGAGCCTACATATACCAAGTAGTAAATTCTTACTCAAGGTAAAATTGAGTTGAAAATTTTCATTTTATTGCTGATTTCCTGCATCATAGACATATGAAGCTGACATCTATAATAGGACAGAGCCCGATGAAGAGAGAGTAAATACTCTACAGGTATAGGATTTTTGAGGATCCTCGAGTTTACTTTCCACATTTTCAGACTTCTCGTCATGTCAGACAACAAGTTTGTCCTGCCTGCCGTTGATTTTAACAATGAGATTCAATCTTTTTTGAAAGAGGTGTCAGACGTAAAAAACTGGTGGATTGATTCTAGATGGAGGTACACTAAACGCGTCTTTACTGCGGAGCAAATCGTATCGAAGCGGGGGAATCTTAAAATTGAATATCCAAGCAATATTCAGAGTAAAAAGTTATGGTGTATACTCGAAAATAAATTTCAAGTGAGATAAAACCTGCTCCTTTTGATTCAGCTATCTAGAGCCTTAATGTATGATAAACGGCTGACAAGGGATTAGAACAAAGATACCAGCATTACGTATGGATGTCTTGAGCCGACTATGCTGACCCAGATGGCTAAGTATCTTGATACGGTGTATGTTTCTGGATGGCAATGTTCCTCAACAGCTTCAGCTTCTGATGAGCCTGGACCAGATTTAGCTGATTACCCTTATGTAAGTATTAAATCCTAGGGGTCTCACAGTCGTGCATTCTAATTAGTCAAGACTACTGTCCCAAACAAGGTTGGCCATCTCTTCATGGCACAACTTTTTCACGATCGGAAGCAGCGTGAGGAACGAATTACCACAAAGGTAGATCGCACTAAGCTTCCAAATGTCGACTATCTCCGCCCTATCATTGGAGATGCAGACACGGGTCACGGGGGTTTGACAGCAGTTATGAAGTTAACAAAGCTTTTTATTGAGAAGGGCGCTGCTGGAATTCATATCGAAGATCAGGCGCCAGGTACCAAAAAATGCGGTCACATGGCTGGAAAAGTACTGGTTCCCACTAGTGAACATATTAATCGCTTAGTTGCTATCCGTGCTCAAGCTGATATAATGGGTAAGTTTCAAGTCCAATTATTTTGTAGTAAACTGAGTTTTTAGGAACGGACTTGCTGGTAATTGCACGTACAGACGCTGAGGCAGCAACGCTTATCACTACGACGATCGACCCTCGGGATCATGCTTATATATTAGGGTCTACAAACCCTAAACTTCAACCGCTTCAGGATCTTATGACTGCTGCTGAAAATGCTGGAAAAAATGGCGTTGAACTTCAAGATATTGAAGATAGCTGGATAGCCCAGGCCCAGCTGAAATGCTTTAGCGAGGCTGTCATTGATGAAATTAACGCTAGTGTCCATATAGACAAGAAAAAGCTTATCAAGCGTTTTTTGAATGATTCCAAGGGTAAGAGTTGCCTTGAGGCGAGGGCGCTTGCCAGAGGAATTATGGGCGTCGAGATATTTTGTGATTGGGACAGTCCGAGAACAAGAGAAGGCTACTATAGGCTACAAGGTGGTTGTGAATGTGCGATTAGTAGAGCAGTTGCATACGCACCATATGCTGACGCGATTTGGATGGAAAGCAAATTACCTGATTTCGCGCAAGCTGAACAATTTGCAAAGGGAGTACATGCTAAGTTTCCCGAGCAGAAGTAAGTCTCATGTCCTGGTTAAATCTGTCAGAGCTAAGCCAGAGGTATCTAGATTGGCCTACAATCTTTCGCCCTCGTTTAATTGGTCCAAAGCGATGTCTCGCTTAGAGCAAGATACATACATTAGTCGTCTCGCTAAGTTAGGTTATTGCTGGCAATTTATTACGCTAGCTGGTTTACACACTACAGCTCTTATTAGTAACCAATTTTCGAAAGCCTTCAGTACGAGGGGCATGCGGGCTTATGGAGAACTTGTCCAGGAGCCTGAGATTGAGTTGGAAGTCGATGTAGTGAAGCATCAGAAATGGAGCGGAGCAAATTATGTGGATGAGATGTTGAGGATGGTACAAGGTGGTATATCAAGTACCAGTGCCATGGGCAAAGGTGTTACTGAAGACCAATTTCAATAGATTAAACAGTAATAAAATGATGGGAAGAGAGTATTTGTAAGAGGCAGGAAAACATATTTGGCCTTTTTTGATGTGCATAGCATTACGCTTTTTCCACCTTGATCAAATTTCATTCAAGTCATTATATGTGCAGGCTGGGTCGCTTTGTAGCTTTCCACCTGAGGTAACATTTTGAGCCATGAGAAGCATTTTATGGTCAAATAATTTGATATAAATGCCACATTTCTGGATCCAAGTGATGACACTAGAGTATAAGTGTAGATATTCTTCGACAATATTGAGGATGAAAAGACGCGCTTAGACGGTAAATATCGGGAGTGGACGTGTACCTAACAAGGTCTTGTAAACGGACAACAAGATAAGGGGAAATACCGAAAGGTAAACGACTAGAATCCTTCATTATCATTCATGATGAGCAGCAAGAGCCACAAGCAAACCTCTATAAATTACATACACCCCTTATCCCCGCGCCAATCAACGATCACCGCGACCCTTGCAGCCACCCATCTTCTCAATTGAGCTCATGATTCCGCTTTTGTAACCAAGCCCGCTGGCAGGCCGCGCGAGTGTGGAGATGCTACGACTGCGGCTGTTTTCGTGACTTGATGACATACTGATGCCGCCCTTACCAATTCGTGTCTCTCCAAAACTCGTGTGGCCCGTGGGCGCCCGGAGACCTGACGCACGAGCTGGTCCGACAGCAGGAGAAGACATACGCTTCGCCGCAGCTGTCGAAGTCGTTGTATTCGTTGCTTCCGTATCAATTTTGGCGAGGAGATCATCAAAGGATGCAATCAGAGGCACCATCTCTTCCACCGTCTGGACTAGTTTTTCTTTTTCGTCGCGCTCGTGGTCCAAGAGTTTATGAAGCTGTGAGTTATCGTGCGTAACACTCTTGACGACTTCGGTAAGACCTTTAACCTCAGCCTCCAACTCTTTTGTCTTAGAGTCTTGCTCCGCCTGTCGTTCCAAGGCCTGATTCGTGCGCGTCTCGGCTTGCTGATACGTCGTGGATCGATCTGATTTAGATTCCTCTTTTTCATGGAGTAGATTTTCAAGTTGACACTCTAGCTCCTTAACACGCTTGTTCCAGCGGCGTTCGTAGCTTTTCTTCAGCGCAGCAACCTTGGTTTCATGCTTCTCTTTGTATAGAGCATGAAGATCTCTCGAGACCTTGCTCACAGCTATCTCGACTGACTTTTCATCGCTAGGTCGATCCTCTGGCCTCATTTCACATTCTGGCAGACATTTTCCTGCTCGCATGGCGGCAATCTTGCTTTCTGCTTCCTGTGCCATGAGTTCGGCAGCTTGTCGTCTAGCATCACTTTCTTCAAGACGCCCCTCCAGCTCTTCTCTCTCCCGCTCACTGTGGACAATTTCTTCTCGAACATTCCTAAGCATAGCTTCCATTTCCCGACCCCTCCGTTCCCATTCTTCCTTATCAGCAGTAAGCTGATCTCTCTGGCCTTGCTCTTCTCGTACTTGTTCTAGGCTTTCCCCAACACGCTTTTCTGCATCCTTTACGGCAGCTTTCAGGGAAAGGACCTCGGCGTCTTTCCCACTTAAAGAAGCTTTGAGATTACTTATCTCTGATAAAAATCCTGACTTAAGGCTCTCCAACTCTCTCGGGGTGATTGTTGGTAAACTTCTTGGAGTAGGTGCTGGTGGAATATCAAAATCGATAAGGTTGGACATGGCATGGCGATTGGCTGACGGGGTCGAGACCATGTTCATATCAAGATACTTTGAGTTCTGTAGGGCGACCGAGTACCTAGCAAGTTTGGCGGGTGAGGGCCTATCAGTAAAGCCATATAATTGTTCTGAGAATTCGAGAAGATTAGTTGTATGCCCATCATCCCTATTCTTCATATAGCTATTTACGGGCATTGATCTTCGGTTTAAGGTTGAGCTCATGGGAGTTCTTCTTGGAGTTGAAGTCAGATCCGGATTTTTCATAGGGCTTTGTCGAATCTTGGAGAACATTGTCATATCTGGCGCCGATGAAAAAGAACTGAATGTGCTAATGACTGTATCATCAATTGTAGATTCCTCATCAGCATCGGTTGTTGATGGGGTTTCTGTGTTGGTAGTCTGACTGTAAGACCGATGTTCCCTGGACACCTCACTCTCCTTATCTTCCAAGATCTCAATTGCCTTTGTGAGGCCTTCATTATCGCGTAGAACATCTTCAATGCTGGGGGACATATTTGCAGGCTGTCTTGGAATCGAGTAGGGCTTCACGGGAAATCGACCGTCGGGTGAAGAGAGTTTTCGCGGGACTCTAAAGACCTCGGGATTCTTGGAGGGCGAGATTACGGGTCGCGTCTTGAGTGTCTTTACTCGGGAGTTAAGCTCATATTCAGCAGGATTTGTAGGTGAGCGCCGTTGAAGTTGGCTGGGCGAGCGGTTCTCTTCGTCTAGAGATGTGGCATCGGCGTTGATGGCTGAAGGGGATGATGGGCTGGCCGGAATTTCAGGCGCATCGGGTTGCGGCTTGCTGCTCATGTCTGCGTGCGAAGCCGCTTGGCGCTGAGCTACAGAGAAGAAGGCAGAGTTAATTGATGCGGCACTGGCTTCCGTTAAGGTATTGGCCATTCCCATTTGTAGAGGGGGATTCAATTGTCTGTGGGGAGCGCCACTTGATGGTATGGAGATAAGAAGGGGCTATGGTATTTGTAAGTGGCCCCATTGTGCCTGTCATATCAGGCTGAGCTGTAAGGTCTCCCCTCCCCTTTCTCCGCCCCTTTCCTCCGCGAGTGTTATATACAACCCCATTTACTCTACTGGTCGCATTACTGGTCCATACCATGACTATGTATCTTCCTACTTTCCTCCCAAGGCACTTATCTATCAACTGAGGCGCGCTATCGGGTCCTACGTGCGAGAGAACTCACGACTCATCCGGCCGTAGGTCTCTACGCGCGCACACGGCATTTCCGACGCCGACGGTCTCACCGTGGGGTGATGAGAGTGATTCCTATGTAGAAGAGAGACAGTCTTATGAGTTGTTGTGGATTATGGGAAGTAGAAGTAGGTTCTTATGCGATCGATTGATTAATTTGCTATCAGGGCATGGGCCTGGGTGGAGCTGACAGGAGCTGTGGCGGGGAGTATAAGGGACGGACGACGCGTCGGCGTTGACCGAGGGCCTAGAATATAATTAAATCTCAGTGCCTACTGAGGCTATGACTATGAAGGATTATTAATACTATCTAAACATCGTTCAGGCTCAATGGTAGATATGAAAATTGATGGTGTTAATATTTTCTGATAGATGCTGAGGGTAATGCCCCGTCGACGGCCTCGGGATGCAATGGACTGGACAGACATCTCGAAGACCTGGCCTCAAGACTTGCATGGCTCCAACCTTCGCACCTTGTGACCGGTCAGAGCCTTAGGATTCAGGAAGGGCGACACTCTTACAGTGGCTCATGGCTCCATCCAATGCCCAGAGCCTCGGCGCATCCTCATCGTTGCCGGGCCGACACGGATCGAACCCGAAGCGGGGAGAGCTCACTGCGTCTCTTGGGCCTTGCCGGGCCCGATGACAATGGTGGGAATAGAATAGAATTCAATTAAAGCCCCTATCGAGTCTATAATTATGAGGGACTACTAATGATATCTAAATTACTTCATAACTTAACAGTAAATTTAGTAATTGTTATGTTTGATATTTATCAATGAATACTGAGGGTCTTGCCCTAACCACAGACGAAAGCGAGTGTCAGGCAAAATAATTAATAGTATACGAACTGTCTCGATGTGAGCCCGCCCCGACAGGATCACCGCCCGTGATGGCTAGCGTCTCGTCCAAAGTCCAGAGCTATTCATATGCACCCTGAGATTCGAAGATGGTGTGGGGGTGGGAATAGGACATGGGACAGTAGTCATGCTGCCCTGGAAATGACATATGTGAGGGATATGATAGCTCGGGTTCCTGTCCCCTTGGACACCATTGGCCTGCCCTGAGACCGGAAATTAGCCTGGCAAGTGTGTAAAAACGAGACTACGTTGTGCGCCCGCTGTGCGATGCTGTTGCATATGGAGATGACTTCGTTGATCTTTTAGGGGCCTGTGCCGCCTTTTCAGTAGGGATCGCCGGCTAGCCGTGAACGCCACGGTTAAGAACTCCTGTCAACCGAGAAAGCCTAGCTAACGTTGGCAGATGCAGGCTTATTCGCCGGACTCCGCTCCCGACCTGCAGCTCATGCCCCGTCAAGACTGCACATCACTACTCGTCCCATAATGTCTCGGCTTGATCCCCGGACGGGCTCTATGCTACGGACCATATCCGATATAATCTTCTTAGGACAGCCGCTGGGCCGGGTGGCGCGGTGACATATGTATCGGTAGGTATCCCCCCTTAGAATTCCGAGCTTAGAAGCCTTTTCCTCTTAGATATCCCATATCCATAAATATATTGTTTATTGCGATGCTCTGATAAATTGGTATGCTTAATAAATGATATTCACGCCGGAGTCTTGGCGCAACAAAAGTATAATGTATTAAAAATAGATGATACTGTCGGTAAACTTCAATTGCATAGCTGTACGAGGTTCTATGTGTAAGATCTATATTCTTCTCTCTATTCAAATATCTAGCTATATATGAAATGAAGTGGCGAGGGCAAGACTGAACACCTGTACGCGGTGTCCTCTACGAACCTGGGAGTGAAATATTCTCCCAGAGCCAAGTTCAGTCAAATTTCGCAATATCAAAGAAGTTGGCCCACGAGGCAAAAATCCAAATTACTTATCCACGTCGTTATTTCGCTCCCAACGAGTTTGACTCCTATCTTCGTCTCATCAAGTCTACAAGTACGACCAAGTACATCCTCATCCCGATGACCACACCGCTCTTCGACCTTCTCTGGCCTCAGTTGACCGCCAAATACACGCCCACGCCGATATTTATACCCGACGGAGGAAGCAAAGCGTGGCGCACAAATCTGGGAGATAGTTATTTGAGATGGACTTGAGAGGAATCAGGATAAGTCGACATGATGATACGAAGGAAGGATAAAACCTCGAAGGGCGTGAAATTCCGAATTTTGGCAAGGAGTTTTTCGAATTGGGCTTTGTGCGCGCCAAGACTTCGCTTGCGAGAGTGCAGTTGACACTATAAAAACAAGCAAACGATGGAAGGTGTTGTGGTCCGCCTCCTGGTGGTGTTCTCTGGTATAGTTTGAGTAGCCTGGGCACCTACTCCACTTGGGAAGGAGACACCTCAGATCACATATCGCGCGGAGAAAGGTTGAAAGATGATGGAGGCATGTCTGGATAACCCAGGGTTTTTGAGATGTTCCCCTGGGTGGGTATTCACGGATGAGGGTTGACTTGGGGTGAAGAAAAAGCCACCATAACTTCGCAGTGGTACTTGCAAATGAAATCCGAGGCATGAGTGCTCTTCTTGTAAATTGAGTCATCTATCATACACTTCTCTGATATTGTGTCATAGCTAGATAGCTGCATACGCAATTAAAATCTGATGCAAAAAAAAAAAAAAAAAAAAAAAGAAATGAAGTGGTACGACCATCCCAGTTGCTGACCAAGTTATCATGTGACTTGGTTACACGGGCTTGTCATTGTTGTAACCACAGATACCCTGTGTATCTGTGTGTCTTTTTATTGTACTACTTGAGTCTATGACTATCTAGCACATTGGGCTCCTCTCTAGCCCAGGCCACGCCTTGTACAGTGCTCCTATCCTCTTTTGTTACTTGAAAGATCACTAATATATTCCCCTTGACGAATAGCCATTTAGCTCAGTAGTTACCCGTGAAATTCGGCCACCTTTTCCACGGAACCTTCTACCCAAAAAAATAAAAATGGTAGCAATGGAAACTGCGTGCGCGCGAAAAAGTCTCAAAAAACCTGCAGCCCCAGCCAGACGAGGCCTAGACACCGGGACCACATGAGGTGCACATATTCATCTACATCTCCCTTCTTCGTAATAGTCGAGGCCGTCTTGATCTAATCCACCATTTTCGTATTGGATGATGAGTAAGCTGCAGAAACACATTGGATGACTTCTCCCCCATGATCAAGGGTTGGGTATGAGAAGGGCTCCCACCCCAACATCTAATCTGATGGTGGTTAGCTTCATGATAATGGTGAAAGGAGGTTGTGCTCTGAGATGAAGACGAAACAGACGGCGAAAGCGCTTGAGATGCCTCATTGATGTGAGGACGAAGGTGTTAACCTATCCCGGCTCCGCAGACTATACTCTGAAAGCCAGACATTCGTAGTGGATACCGCTGACAGGTGTTGAGAATAGCACCCTAGTTACATCTAGTCTTAAGCTCTACCTTACATAATAGTAATTTGGAGCCACGAGACACCCGTAATCCAATTTATGAAGCTAAGCTGGTCTCACATTCCACATATCCTAACACACTAGTAATTTCACTGTTACGGGACATAACTGGTTCGACCACATTTCTCCAGATGCTTTTGAATTTGATTTCATTTAACCCGATCAGGCAACCTATGGGTCCATGCAGGTGACTATCTTCATTATTTACAGAGGAGGAAACCAATTTGGTGAAAAACGCCTGGTCCTCTCTATTTATATTACCATCAATTTATTTGTTTTACCCTCAGGAAGTGCAGTGTACAATGTTCAGCCAGTGTGGATTCCGTCCTTTACCCTTCCAGATCGATTTATTCTATCCGAAATTGCTACTTCGACTTCCCCTGCAAGTCGAAACTATTTTATCCACCCTTTGTTTAGTATCCACTGTGTGATTCTAGCCACATATTCTAGGCTATTCATCATTGTTTCAAATGACCTGTCTTAAACTTGTCGGAGAAAGTCGCCTCTTCCATCTGTCCACTGCGAATACGCCGATACCATGTGCTTGACGCTTTGCGACGGATATCCACATTGACAGCTTGGCTTTTCTACTCCGGGTACTTTTCTTCTGCTCAGGTAAGAATTGAGTCCAATATGCTCGCTTCTTAGCTGAATGGCGACACTGCTTTGAGCCCTGGTTAGGTTACGGTGGATATTTAAGGGTGTCTCTTTGAAGTTCATTTTGGTGCTGCCTACTTGTCCATCAGTAAATATATTTTCCGCTTTCCATTTTTCTGGATCGGCTGATGCTGGTCGGCCAGGGCGCTGTTTCCTGTTCTGGCTTGTCCATGAATTCTTCCACTCGTGAAAGGCCGCCATCTTTCCAGCTTCTTTCTTTCTCCCCTTGTCCTTTTCCCTTCAAGTTCTTATCCATTCGGCGATATCTTTACTCTTGTTTAAGGCATGCGAAGTTTCTCTCCCATTTGCGGGCAGCTTTATCCTCTTACATGTCGGTCGGATTCTCTGTTGAACTGAGAGCTTAGCTGATAGTCCGGCGTGCTGGACCCTCTTTTGTTTCAGGTATATCTCTATAGGAAAGAAGGACGATTTGTGCTCTAGCACTCTGCTGCTAATAGAATTGTAGGCACTTGAAAAAAGCTTTAAGCGATTTCTTTGAATAATTCTGATGGGTTTTTGTTGTGCTGGTGATGGCTAGGATTACGATGCACAAGGGTAATGATTACTGAATGTGAAGGAAGAACTTTCAAGGTGGCTCCATGATCAGTAGAAGAGTAATAGAGCACTGT